CAGGATGTGCTGGCACAGGTAACAGCGGTTAGATGTTTTCACCTTTAAAAAAGTCATTTAACCACAATCTTTTTTTTAATCGCAGTGGCTACTGATTTAGGAAAGAGGTGCTAGGGAAAGCAAGGGCACAGTTTGGCAGAGCTGCCGTGGGGAGCACCCTCAGAGTCTGTGGGGAACCTCAGGCCAAGGTGGGGGTCTCCCACAGTGCTTTACAAGAACTACCACTTTAAAGTTGAGACATATTTGGTCCTCTCAGTCTCTTAATCAATACTGCACAACAGATCTGCTACTCTATAACTTAACTAAATACATTCTATTGCTTTTAATTTCAGTTTTTCTAAAGCTCGATGGGAATATCGGTGAAGATCCTGGAGAGCTCCCAGGTGGCCCGCTGTGTACTTCTGCTCTGAAGGCAAACCGGCAGTCACAGCAGCAGGTTGTTATGAAGTCGATGTGTGTCTTTGCTATAACTGGTTATCATGTGCAGAGTCAGGGCTTCAGTTTTTTTCCATATGTGAGCCGGACAATAGAATATCCAACTTAGTAACAAAAGTTTAACTTGACAATTGGCCTAAGTTTCATTTTGCAGAGCCAGGCTTAATTCCATTTGCTACTGCTGCATAGGTAGGTAAGTGAAATACAGCTTTGTGTGATATGAGTGAAGTAACATGCCCCAAATGTACCATGATAAAATACGTGTTAGGAAGTGAGTTTCTCACCAGAACTTATAAATTAAAAATACAGAGCTCACCATTTTATTAAGACAGTCACTGACAGTTTGTAAAAAAAAAAAAAAATAATAAAAATTCTAACATACATAAAAGCTTCAGGCCAGAAATAGTGAGGAATTGAAACAGCATTCCCCTCGCCCCCCATACAGACATTGCATTACAAACTTCAGTTTGTTTGATTTAAATTGGCTTAATCTTGAAGTGTAGTCCAATAAGACTGAAGACTAGACACTTAAGGTCCTGGACCAGGTAGTAGAACACTCTCAAGCCTTCTGGATCCCTGCAGCGCACATCAGAAGGAAGGAAAAAAAAAGTTAGATTGATGTTCTAAGAGAGCAGTTTATAGAACTAACCTATTAAAAAAACCCCAAAGGCTATATAGGGAGACTTTTCAGAGGTCATTTTAGACATTAACAGATTTGTTTCATTCCACATTGACTGATAAAACACCCTGTACTCCAAGTTCGCATGCTTGGAGTCTTAACAAAATGTGCATTTTTATCATGAAAGCAAATAGTAACATCACTTTGGATTTAAAAAACATGATACTCAGTCTTTCCAGCTTAGGTGAAATACAGAAATCTTGGTTCTCCCAGAGCTGTTGGTGTGGACAGGCCAATGACAGTTCAGGTCAGGCTCTGAACATGTCTAACAGGGGTTCCTACAGTGAGGTTAGCTGCTCCGTCAGTTTGAAAACATAGCGCATAATACCACAGTCTAAAAACATTTGGTATGCTACGCTGGAACACAGAGCGCTTGTGCCGCCAGGAACTGATTTGTACTTTGAAACAATATAAAATACAAGTATCTTGCAATCAGCAAGTTCTAATATAGACTTACATAAAAACAACAGCAACATAAAAAAAGCCGAGTACATACTTGGATTGATTTACATCAATGAGTGAACCGATTTTTGATGTGGTAAAGGAGATGTGCTCATCACCGATTACTATTTCGAGCTCCTGAAAAACAAAACAGTATAGGAATCGAAACTACTCCTTTATGGTATTAGTTACAGAAATACTTAAGTACGGAGATGATGGCTTTTCCATTTTTATTACAAAGTTATTGAATGCAGCAGGTCTGTGAATCACATTAACTCTCGTGACTAAATTACCATTTAGACACTGCTCAGGTTTATAAAATAGTATTTGTTTCCCTTTTGGCTAGAAACAATACTGACATGAACAAAAAGTTCAATTATGCTTCTAATGAGCTAACATATAAAAATTAAAGCAGCAATTAGAAAAGACAGCGTACACCAACCTGTCGACCAACTCTGTCAGGAGGAGGCCACAGAGCATCATCTTCCTTCGTGATTTCACTGTCGTCGATTATTCTCTTCAGCTCCTCCATCACACTCTTATGCACGTAAGCCTACAAACA